AAATATATTATTTGGGAAAAAGCTGTGATTATCAGCGATGTTTGAATTGAATAAAAGATAACTATAAATTAGTTCAAAAAAAAATATCGAGCGCTCTTCGAATTTCATCACTACAAAAGTGCTCAATGTCGTGTGCGTCATAGGGAAAAATATGTGACAGAAACGAGCTTTGTAATTGAATGGTTCCTTATGTAAACACGTTTAAGAAGAAAAATAATGCTCAATTGACACGTTTTGTAAAAAGTTACTTATAATCTAGTTATACATCGTACATTGAAGTATAGCAGATTGCGACTTTGAACATTGTCGGCAGATTTAACTCACTTCAAAATAAACAAGACCGAAAAGTTTCGACAAATCCTTCAATCAAGCCCTGAATGTTCCGACTTCTTTTACAACTTTCTACATGAACTAATTTTTCTGAATCAATCGTAATCAATTCTGAAGCTTACACAAATAATCTTGATAAAAAATTTTCTTTGTTACTAATATGATTTTGAGTTTGAGTTATTAAAAAACCCTAAGTGTTGTGCCATTAGGGGAAATTCAGTTTTTAATCATTTAGGAATTATACCGTTTGGGAAGTAACCGTTCATAAAGGGTGGGGGTGGGTTAGGGGGTTGGGATTTAATTAGATAGTAGATTAAAACTAAGTAACACAAAATGTTCCCTGGCAAACCATACTCAAGTACCAATGCTCATTTTTCAAAGCTTAAGACAAACAAGACTGCTCGTATCAGGGCGGAGACCTGAATGTTCTGACTGCATTTTAAGGTTTATGGAGCAGTAACAACATTTGAAAAAATTAAATGTAATAACATGAAATGAAATTTTTTTAAATTGAAAATTGAGTTTTTTTATGAACATCATCACCCCACACGCCATACAAAGTACAAAATGATAGATTTCGCTCCTGTAACAAATCAATGATGGCAACCAAGTTTCTTTCAGCCAATTTGGAACGATTTCTAAGATGGATTAACTCTCCGCTTTCGCTTTAATAGCGCGAAATATATCGTGCGTTAATTGTCCCAAATTGGCTAAAATGGCAATATTTAAACCCCCATAACTTTCCGAAAAGAGATCACAGGTGAAATATTTTTTCCAATTTTAAAGCTTAAGACAACAATACTTTTTGAACGATATAAAGAACTTCCGTCAAAAATGGCTAGATAAAAAATCTGAATTTTTCTGAAGAAAAAACCCATCCCGAGCACAAACATTCCGTTACTTTTGTATCGAAAGACGGAACAATAATATAACGTATAGTCAAGACAAGTCTGTAAAAAAAAATTTCTAAGAAGCAAGCTAGTATAAAAGAAACTATCACAAAAAACTGAATAAGAATCAAACAATTTTGGTTGACTTTAGTAAAGCAATATGTAACCACAGCAAACCTGCCAAAAATAAATCGGCAAAAATTTGATAACAATTTATATATCAAGAACATCTATAACAAGTTAGTTAAGTTCTATTGTTTTAGATTTCTTTTCATACAGAAGCAATTACTACATATCTATCAAAGTTAGATTCCATGACATTCTACGCTATTCCAATCTACCCTGTGCTAATCTGCCCTATACTATTCTATCCTACATACCAATCTACCCTATATCAATCTACCCTATACCATTCTACCCTATAATTAAAGCAATTGAAACTTACCCCATCCTCTTGAAGAAACCGAAACAGCATATTTCCGAACAAATCAAAGAACCATTAATTGTGATCAAAGAATAATTGACGCACGTGAACAAAATATCAAAACAACGTAAAACTTGCTTGTTCAAAATGGAAATGAGTTCAAAACATGAACGAACAAAGTTTTCATCCAATTTTGCTTTAAAAATGCGTTGCGGCTGTTTTTTAAACAAACAAAAGTCAAATCTTATCAAGTCGACATAGCTTAGCGGATAATGCATGTGTTTTGAAATCAAAAGTTCGAAAGATCAAATCACCAAGGAGTCAACCTTTGAATGAAATTCGAAAACTACTGAGGGTTTGACTAGTTGATCGCAAAAGGAGGGGTAGGCCCCCAGTACCGGCCAAGGCGGTACTGGGGACGGGGTGAGGGAGAAGGTAAAATTCTTTTGACATTGGCCACTATTACCTCCCAAAATATCAGCCCTCTACGGCCACGGGAACCTCAAAATGGGTATACTTTAACAATTAAATTGAATTTTTGAGAATTTTTAAAGTTTGATAAAATAAACAGAGGTAGGATTTTTCTTTACAAAACTGGTCAAAAAAAACTTGCTGATAGAAATAAATAGCTTTTCTTGGGTCAGTTTTTCCAGCAAAAAAACCCTACCTCAATGATTGCTAATAAATTCCCAACCCCAATGAAGCTTAAACAAATGTTCTTGAACAAACGTTTTTTTGTTGCTATTACGATTTTGAGGTTGAGTTATTAATAAAAACTTGTTTTTTGTGCCACAAGAGGAAAACTAAAATTTTAATCATTTAGGAAATATATTATCTGGGAAAAAGCTGTGACTATCAGCGATGTTTAAATTGAGTAGAAGATAACTATAAATTAGTTCAAAAAAAAATCTAGTGCGCTCTTCGAATTTCATCAATACAAAAGTGCTCAATGTCTTGTGCGTCATAGGGAAATCTATGTGACAGAAACGAGCTTTGGTATTGAATGGTTCTTAGGTAAACGCGTTTAAGAAGAAAAATACTGCTCAATTGACACGTTTTGTAAAAAGTTACTTAAAATCTAGTTATACATCGTACATTGAAGTATAGCAGATTGCGACTTTGAATATTGTCGGCAGATTTCACTCACTTTAAAAAAAAACAAGACCGAAAAATTGGGACAAATCCTGCAATCAAGAACTGAATGTTCCAACTTCTTGTACAACTTTCTACAAGAAATAATTTTTCTGAATCAATCGTAATCAATTCTGAAGCTTACACAAATAATCTTGATAAAAATTTTCTTTGTTACTAATATGATTTTGAGTTTGAGTTATTAAAAACACCATAATTGTTGTGCCATTAGGGGAAGTTCAGTTTTTAATCATTTAGGAATTATACCAATCGTGAAGTAACCGTTCATATCAGTGATGTTTAAATTGAATGGAAGATAACTATAGATTAGTTCAAATATAGATCTAGTGCGCTCTTCAAATTTTATCAGTCCAGTAGTGCTCAAAATTGATGTCCCTCTTAGCGAGATCTATGCGACATAAACGAGGTACAACGTTGAACAGTTACTTAGGTTAGCACAGTTTTGCTTGAATTCACGAAAGATTTCGTGAAACAAAGTTATTTAGCTTAAAGCGGTTAAACAAGGTTCCAATAATCTATTGAACTATCTATCCCCCCACGCGGGAATGGGAGGTGAGATTGCTTAATTGATCCGAATTAGTTCCTTAGTTTTTCACAAACATAGTTGTCCACTTGAGACAACTATGTTCTTGTCTTGGGGTCTAGTTTATCACCCAATCAGTTTTCACCATTATCTTTGAGAGCGCGAAAATCAAGTTGGCTCAGCCGAAATTGCTAAAACTGTCGAAAACGAACTTTCGGCCGAATGCAGATCAAACTTAAAAGGTGGTCTTCTTGCTTTCAATTGTTTGACATGGAATTTTTATTTTGTTAAACTCACTAAATAGTATAAAACTACCTCATAATGGCAGTTCATTAAACCAAAAACCAGTGAATTAAGTCAGTTATCTGAAAAAGTGTTAAGTCTTACTTCATTTATTTAGATAAACACGTGAGTTGAAGTCTCAAATGATCATGTTAACATACTCCTTCCCCATCCATATAGACTAAGTTAGGATCTTCCACATCAGCCTTTAATTCGGATTAAATTTGCTAAGGGCTGCATGTTGAATGCTCGATTCTAATTGGCTGAAAACTCCAACTTAGAACCAAGTTTACATCACTTCAAACTGCTTGGGGGGGGGGGGGGGGGGGGTTCTAAATTGGTCCCTTTCAGGCTACAATATGTCAATTCTCTTTTGCAGAAGAAACATGCGAATAAAAATTGAACATTGCAAACATTGCCCGTAGAAACATACGAACAATGCCCGTACCATGAGCTTAGGCCGAGATCTAGGAATTTCTCGAGAGGGGGAGGATTTTCAAAAAAATTTTGAAATGTTTTGGCGAACATTTTTTTTAGGTCGACCAAATTGATTTTGTGAGCACTCCCAAAGCACTATAAAGACCTTAATTTGACGAACTTTTCTGCGCCGCAGGCAAATTTTTGAAAAAAAAATTAAGTTTTTTTTCGGCGCGCGCTCCCCACTCAAAATTAGTATAGATTGGCGCCAAAGGCGCCTTTAGAAAAATTTTAAGGTCAATCAGCCAAAAATAGAAATTTCAAAACAGTACAAAGGAGAACCAACTCCCCTCTCCCTAAATCCGCTATTGCATAAGCTTAACAGCTTCACAAAACATAGGCAACTGACAGTTGGAAAAAAGTAATGAACGCAAGGAAACAGAAAATAACTGATTTGTTTTTTTGAAAAAACTTCATCTTTTGAATTTCAGAAAAAACATAGTCTTGAAACTTTATGAATTTAAAGAACAATTTATGATTGACATTTTTTGGATTAAATTAAACCAAATTGAGAAAACTTGATCAATACGTAAATTTCTTAGTTTGCTATAGAAAATCTATAAACAAAAACCACTTTCAAATCTACAAATCAATGTCGTTTTTTGTGGAACTTACATTTTACTAATATATAATAAAATTTACCTTTCTTTTAACAAAAAAAATTTTCTGAATTTAAAAAAATTAAAAGTCAGTCCGCGAAAAATCAAAAAATGGGCATGAACACATTTTGTCTTTTTCCTGAAAAAACCAAGAAAAATCACGAAGACCATAATAAGAGTGTTCACCACGTTCACTACTCTTACAAATTTTCGGGCGCATGAAGGCTCACTCAATTCATTACTTTTTTAAATCAAAATTTGGTTAAAAGTTACTAGTTTCAGCTTTCTGAAAGCATGCTTATAAATTATTTTATTTCCTCCGGTTGTTTGTTGAGTTTTTTTCTAAAAGATACAGCAATTGACTGTTTTTTTAGAAGTGATATCAGCTTTGAAATCACTTGATTGCTGCCATGCTTTATTATTCCATGCTTAGTTTTCATACTACAGACATACTACAGAGTATCCTTTCGCTGCAACGTCAAAAATTTGAGCTGTCGAAGTTTAAATTGGACTGTGTTAGTTGTGATGTGTTGTGGTCCTTATTTAGTCGGGGTAGCAGCGTCGGCGCTGTTTGGGAATGCACGCACTGTGTTGAAGAGCTTCTTCCAATTCTTGCTGGCCTTCGTCTTCTCCAGATTGCCACTGACCAGAGTCAAGTTCACGTTGCCAGCCTTTCCTTGTATCCAGGGGTGGCTCAGTGCATCCTGAAAAGACAGTTCAGTGGTTCAGTGCATCCATAAAGTAAACCTATACAGCTTAGCGTCAATGTTTTCAGACTATAAGTCAACCTCTTCAGGTCGCAGCATATTTTTCTTCAATTTACTGGATATGCTTGCACGAATTCTGATAGAAAAGTTCTGCTCTTCATGAGTTTCAATTGCAACAATACCATAAACATATATACTTTTTAGGAAACATGTAACTTAGCGAACGAATGAGGACAAGACTTTAACAGCAGTTGATACTGATACCTTCGCGGAGAGTCTGTCGCCCTGTTCAATGCTCATGAGCTTGGCCACGAAGTCTTTTGCACTTTTGGACACTTTGTCCCAGGCGGGCGAGTCGAACTTGTAGTCGCCCTTCATGATTTGACGGAAGAGCACGTGGTCACTGTCGTTGAAGTTGAACGGCGGATATCCACACAGCAAAATGTAACACACCACGCCCACAGACCAACAGTCTACCTGAATTACACAAGAATTAAGCAAAAGCTGTTGTAATAGCCGTATCAATGTAAGTCTATAAAATATCTGTTGATAATATCTTCGCAATAATTCTATAAAAGCTGCTGGATTTGAAAAAAACTTAGAATTTTTTGTGGGTAATGAATAAGTGGTAAGGCGTTATGTGCGAGGACGTCAGATCGTGTAATCGATCCCCTGCCATGGTAGTGATGGTGGGTGAGCCCTCACTTCGCCTCTAGCTTCAATTCTACCATTTAGGCTGAGTTGTGGTAACACGCTGAAGCTCTGGACGCGTGAAAAATGAAACTCTCCAAACGAAGCTAGAGAAACGAACTATGCTTGGATAGGCTGGTTAGATTTCCATAGATCCTCTGCTAATCGCAGAAACCACAATTATTATTATCATAGCGCTAAGCAAGGGAGTTTTTCTTTGAATACCAATTTCGTTTGGAGAGTTTCATTTTTCACGTTTCAAAATTAGAGATTATTTCTTCAAGTATAATTGGTGGGCGTTGCATATTGTATAGAAGCTACACAGTTGAACTTCTGAGCTTTGATCCAGCTGTAAAAGTAGTGTACCTTGGCCGTGTATGCACCCTTGTGCTTTAGAATCTCTGGTGCACAGTAGCCGGGTGTGCCACATGCAGTGGACATGATGCCTTTGCTGGCGTACTCATTCGCGTAGGACAACCCGAAGTCCGACAGCATCACCTCCGAGGCCTCGTTCGTCGTCTTGAACAGAATGTTCTCGGGTTTGATGTCTCGGTGCACCACGCCTAAGCCGATCAATACCTTTGGATACAAATACCTTTGGATATAAAAATCACTTTTGTTGACCACAGTTCCGAATAGAAACAATTGCTACCTTGCCCATACTTTCTTTGCGACTCGAGCCCCCCGAAATTTTTAGAATTTCGACTATAAAATTTTATTCAAGATCAGGGGAGGATCTAAGTTTTTCTCGAGGGGCGGATTTTTCAAAAAGTTGTCGACATTTTTTTTAGGTTGATCAAATTGATTTTCCGAGCTCTCCCAAAGCACTAAAAAACCACTGTTTTGGTCAATATTTTTGCGCCGCAGGCAAAACTTTGAAAAACAGGCCAAAAAAAAACATTTTTGGCACTTTTTAGAAAATTTTGAAAACTTTGACCGAAGAACCGCGTTTTTTTTCGCGCGCGCTCCCCCTTCAAAAAAGTATGTGTTAGCGCCAAAGGCGCCTTCCTTTAGAAAATTTATAGGGTCCGTCACCAAATTTTGATATCTCAAAATAATACAAAGGGGGACCCTTTGGGTCGGCAGGGGGTCGAATCCTAGAAAAGAATTCGTCCGCAAACACCCCCTTCCCCCAAATCCGCCCCCGTTCAAGACTACACTGCTGAAGCGGATAGTGGAAGAAAAATATTGTGAGCTCTTCATAATCCAAGATTGAGGTTTAGTCGCAAAGACAATTAGCCGCAAAGAGGGGAACTTCTGGTAGGTGGGGTCTCCAATTTTTGAGTAGGAGGACCATTATTTTTTCAGGAACAGATTCAAAACATCGGTTAGCAAATAGCGTTATACAAATGGTGTTATACCCCTTCCAGGTATAAAATGTTTGTTACCTTTCTCTGCGTGCAGGTAATGACAAGCTTCCAACACCTGCTGGATTATCTTAGCGGCGTCAGCTTCTGTGTAGTTGCCCTTGGAAATGATTCGGTCGAACAGTTCCCCACCCTCCGCTAGATCCATGATGATAAAGATCTCCCTCGGCCCCTCTATGTAGTCCTTGATACACACTATGTTCTTGTGCTTCAGAGTTCTCATGATCTCGATCTCTTTCTTGATGCTCTCATTCAGATCTTTATTCTTACCTAATTGAACAGTCGAAAGTTCGAAACTTCAGCTAGAACTAAACCGTCGTCTTGCGTTGTCTGCTAAACAGCGTTTTCTAACATCTGATTTGAGCTTAAGTTTTCCATTGGGAAAATAAAGAGCAGGCAACTTTCTCTTTTGAAAATCAAAATCCAAACTTTTTCAAAATATAATTTGTGCACCAACCGATATATCGAAATTGCAAAGTTGGTGTGGAAGAGCTATTAGATATACTATATTTACGATAAACTAGATTGACCTGATATTTTAGCCTTCTCGATGACCTTGACAGCGTAGAACTTTCCATCCTTCTGACATTTCGTCCGGAACACTTCCGAGAATGCGCCTTTTCCCAGTCGTCTGCCATGGGTGTAGCTACTCGTATATTTGGTTGGGAAGTCAGGTGGGGGCATTCTACAAAAATGGTAGCTCTAATGATAGGAATAATTTGAATTTTGGAAACGCTTCAAACACCAATGGCCCAGATGAAGCTGGAGGTACCTTTTTGATCAATTTAAAAATAAGTATAATGCTAATTATGATGCGCAATATTGAAAAAATCAAACCTTTGACTTTTTCCAAGTTCATTGCGAATTTCCTGTCAAATTAGGGAGAAGCGGCTTATGTAGGGGAAGACAGTTCAAAAAAGACGAAGAAAGTTCAAAAAAAATTTAAAAGTTCAAGGAAGGGTCCAAATGTAAATAATTGAACATTCACAAAGTCCACCGACGTTTTAGACAAAAAAATATTGAGAAGTTTTTTTTTGCAGGGGAGGTCCGTGCATCCTTTTTTTTCGGTTGCCCTTTAACCTCAAAGCTCACAAAATTGTTATGGAGAAAATGAGCAAAGCCCAAACAACGTGTCACAATGTCAAAGTATGGATAATTTTCAAATACAAACCAGTTTACACAAGCTACTTGGGAAGCGAGAGAGAAGTTCAAAAAGCTTCGATACTCTTCAACGAAGCATTATCGTGGAGCTTAATTTTTAGATATCCTTAAGAAAATCTTAATTTTGGCTTTCAGTTTGCGTTTAGTAAATTCAGGACCTTCGTGAGCTTGTTCACTGATTACCGCCTCCGTTCAAAAGTCTAAAAATGAGAAAAATTAACTTTTTAAGAAGGAGAGAAAAAACTAAGAGTTTGGTCAAATTTATTCTGAAATGGAGATCTTCCAGTTAACTAGATTTTGATTTTAGTACCTCTCTGTTGAATTTCAATACAACATTTTCGAGCAAATCAAAAAAGTTTTCGTTAAAAGTAAGAGTTTCAAAACGTTTCAAAAACATACAAAAAAGATACTTAAATGTTTTTTTTTCCTGTGTACATTTTTTAAAATCAAACTCAAAAGTTAAAATTTAAAATCAACAAAATTTGGAACAATTTTAAAGGGCGAGGGTTATTTGAAAAAGAGCCGGTTTTTTTGGAAACTTTAATAAATCGAGTGGAAACTGGTTTTTCTGAAAAAATATATATTTACCATTTCAAAAGACACCTGATTTTGTGACATGTAAATTGCGTGAAAACAATGTTAACAGAGAAACGACCTCTTTAAGAAAAAAAATTTTGAAGTACTTTTTTCTCATTTTTTGAAGATACTTTAAAATACTTAATTATTTAAACTTACGCAATATTTGTGCTGAGAGTGGTTTTTTCTCCAGGCAAAGATTCGGCTTTTTAAATAGCAATTTTTGACAAAAATGTTCTCTACCATCTAAACAGTATTAATATCCTTAGCTTAAATATAAAACACAGAGACAAAATGGAGTTTTGCACCATTCGCGACACAACACAAATAAAAACGAATCAAACTTTTCGAAGTTTCGATAAAAGAAAACTAGATGACTAGCTTAAGCTGGAGGTAAATGGTTGATATTTATTTTGATTTTTGTATACTGATGCGGGACGAAAAGCGTAATTTCAAAAACTAGACTTTGCCAAAAGCTTAGTTGTTTCTCTACTAAATTAAGTGAGAAGCGTGAAAAGTTTTGAAATTGTGCCTAAGGTCATAAAATTTTTCTAACAAAAAACGAGAAGTAGCCGCTCCTCCAAGAGAAATTCTAGCTGACGGTTCTCTCAATTGAATTTTCTAAGAGGATTTTCTCAACTTTGATAGAGAACCTATAACTGCAGATATGAGCGCCTTGTTTTCGTTAAAAATTTAGAAAATTGAACTTCCTGGGCCAATAATTTTTTGTATAAGAAGTCAAAAAAAGGTAGCCGCTCGTTCAGGGAAGTTATCTGCATTGAATCCACAATCTCAGATTTGTATTTTGGAGCTTAGTTTTTGAGAAAAGTAAAAAATTTTATAAAACTTTCAAAAGTCACAAGTATGACTTTTCCTAGGCGCTTTTTCCTTCTCCCCACCTCACATACGCATCAGTTATATGTTGTAACGAGGGGTTTAACAAGGTTAAGTATGAGGACTAAATATGTTTGTCTTTTCCTAACTAGTCCGCATACCAAATTGTGTAACAATCCTATAATGTCAAAAAATTTTACTTGTAAAAGTTCGCTGCTGGGGGAAAAGAAAAAAAACAAATAAAAATTCGCCGTAATTGATTCCCATTTTCTGTCTTGGCTCTTTTCCTGTTAACCCCTCCCCCTTTTAAATTCAATTTTGAAAAGTTTTTTGAACGTTGTCATAAGGCAATGGAAATTGGCGTGGGAAACAAATCGACAACTGTGAACAGATTTTTTCTTCATACTTTACAGCGTAACATCACGCATTTAGCCGTAATAACACGTAGAACAAATATAAAACTCGGTATATTGAAAGGTGGACTGGAAAAGAGCCTCTGTCTTTTCAATTGAAATCAAAATCTTAGAATTTAGGGTTGAGTTTTTGAGAAGAGTCAATAAGATGCAAAAAATGGACAACAAAAAATGACTTTTTCGAGGGCCATAATTTTATGTGAACATTTTTTTCGCGCAGATGTTTTTGGAGGGGAGCTCTCCATCATGCTCCTTCTATTAATTGAAATCAAATTTTTTGACCAATTTATTAAAAATTTTTGACTTTTTTAAACAAGAGTTCAAGGCAAGCGCGGAAAAGAAGCCGACAGTTTTTGAGCAGGCACCAGTTGGGCCTGAAAAAATAGATGTTATAAAAAAACTTACTAATAAATCTCAAATCTCCTCTCTTACTGCAACAAATGTGCTACTATGATGCTTGCTTTCAGCAAAAAAAAATCAGCGATGTGGCAACTAGGCCGTCAAAACTTGAGCAGATAAACGAAACTCCGGCAAATCAATTTTTAGCAGTATACATATTAAAAAAACAAGGTCCGGTCGAAAATCGAACTCTTGACCTTAGGATGCAAAGCGACAGGGTTAACTCTAACCCAAAAGCAAAGTAACCTGGAGAATCAATAATAAATTAGGTTGACAATTTTTCAGAATATTTAATCACGGGAAAAAGTCTACGATCGCTGGATGAGTTTGGTGCTATTAACTCGTCAGCAGAGATTTAATACCTGTTAGAAATCCTTCCAAACTGAATTCAAGCATGCTATTTGGACTAAATAACACTTAGCTATTTGCGAAGTATACTATTTGTACCTTGCATATCGTTGCGGGGGAAAGTTATCAAAAAATTGTGGAAACATTGAATTCATTTTTTTTTGCTTTTTATTGATGGTATTACAATGAAAAATAATCTTTTGACTTCGCTTTCAATTCTCGGGCACCTTTTGTTTTGTATAGTCTTGTATACAATAAAGAAACAAAGGAGACTGTTCAGATGTCGGTGGCAAACCCTGAATGTTCCGACTGCCCTCTTTTTTCGATCAAAAGCTTTTTGGTTTAACAAATATTACAATCACTTCAAAAAAAATAAGAAAACTTTTGAATAATTTAAACATTTTTCAAATGGTTTGTGAATGTTTACGTACTTATAGGAGCAAAAAGCTTGCCTCAGTTTAACTTGAAGGGTTCAATTTGCCTTTTTTATAATTAAACGAAATATATTGAACTTTTTTAGTAAAATACATCCAAATTCAAACCATTATAACTCTGTGAAAAATGATCACAGCAAAAGTATCTGTTTTTATTTCAGCTCCAGGCAACAATAACTTTCAAATGCTATTGTAAAATAATTGAATAACAAAACTAAAAATGACTGAATACAAAAACCACCCCAAGCATAAATGTTCCGCGATTCTTCGGAAGTCGGAATAAGGGAGAAAAATAGAGAAATATAGACTTGGTTCTATTTGGTCGATTTTTGCTCTCCGGGCCTTGAACTTCTTTTGCCTTCTTTAAATATGAAATTCAAATGCTTATGAAATCAAAATTTCATTACAAGGAACAGTTTGCCTTCAGAACGCTTTAATTAGGTGAACATTATATTATAATCATACGTTCTATTTTGTTTAGTAATTACAAAGCCGGTAAGTCGCCTGTATTATCTTTCTGAGATAATCGAACGTTGCTTGTAGATTTTTGATTAGTTTGTTTTTGGAACGATAGTTTTAGCTTCAGATGATTTTGGATTTAGATCGATATTTTTTTCCTGAATTCCATGAACAGCGATACGTTTTCTTTCCTAACACTTGCTCCTCTATGCTGAATTGTAGAATCAAGACTAACAATTTGGTTTTAAATAGTGATTTTACTTAATTTTTCAACGATACCAATGTTTTCCGTTTTTAATCGTTGTTTGAATTTTTTTTAAAATTTATTTTCAAAATATTTCAATTCTTTTCGATTTTTGTCTCAAATTTTAGGCAAAGAAATTTGGTTTTTGGAACTATAAAATAAGTTACATTTCCATTTTCCTAAACTCAATGCCCGGGCGTAATTATCCTCAGTCTCTCCTCAGCTGTGTAGTGACTCACGACATTTTAAACCAAGCCAACAGCAGTCAAAGCCCAAAAAACTAGCAAACATGTGGAGCACATCAGGGCGTATTGCAAGGCAAAAACTGAGTCTATTTAAGTCGGATGAGCCAGTTGCAGTGATTGAAGAGGAATAGAACGCATGAATATTTGGAGCTCCATCAGGCTAGTGCAAATGAAGATGATATAGTTGAAAAAGGTAGATGAGCACAAGAGATAACTACCAGATCTTATTGGAAAGACGCCATCAGCAACAAACAGGTACTCACAGTAGCAATCGCGTAGAAGAGCGCAGACGAGACGCACACGGTTTATTCTGAAGAACACTTGAAACTTCGTAGAAACTTCTTCTTTTTGGAACCAGTTCAAAAAAAGTATCTATTTTATCCTATTATTTTCCGATAAACTATCTCCGTAAAATAATTAGAACTAACCAATCATGATCCATAACTAACACTTAAAAAAATTTGTAAGGCTAAAACTTTTTATAGTTTCAGTCAGAACAGAAAAAATTTAACTTAGCAAACAGTTGCTCATCCTCAGACTACTTCTTGACTACAACCCTCGCAAATATCAAT